GTGAGAGCCCATATCTCCAACCAGCACCATCACACAGATATGAGACGGAGAGGAGGAGAGAGGGAGAGGGAGGAGAGAGAGGGAAAGGGGAAAGAGAGATAAAGGGGAGAGGAGGAGAGGGGGAGAGAGAGAAAGGAGAGGAAAAGAGGTGTGACACCTGCAAGGGCCCATATCTCCAACCAACACTGTCACACAGATATGACACGCAGAGGGGAGGAGAGAGAGAGAGATAACGGGGAGAGGGGGAGAGAGAAAGGAGAGAAAAAGGAGAGGGGTGTGACACCTGCAAGAGCCCACATCTACAACCAACACCATGCATTATATGAGACGGAGAGAGGGAAAGACAGACAGAGGGAGAGACGGAGAGAGGAGTGACACCTGTGAGCGTCCATATCTGTAACCAACACCATCACACAGATATGAGACGGAGAGGGGGAGAGGGGAAAAAAGAGAGTGAGAAAGGGTGGCAGAGAACGAGAGAGAAAAAGAGGGATTGAGAGAGGCAGAGAGAGGGATAGATAGGGGAGAGAAAGAAAGAAGGAGAGGGGAGTGACACCTGTGAGAGTCCATATCTCCAACCAACACTATCACACAGATATGAGCTCACCCAAGAAAGGGAGGACAGAGAGGGGGAGAGGAGGGAGAGGGGGAGAGGAGGGAGAGGGGGAGAGGAGGGAGAGGGGGAAAGGAGGGAGAGGGGAGAGGAGGGAGAGGAGAAAGGAGAGGGAAAGGAGGGAGAGGGGGAGAGGAGGGAGAGGGGAAAGAGGGAGAGGGGGAAAGGAGGGAGAGGGGGAAAGGAGGGAGAGGGGGAAGAGGAGGAGTGGCCAAGGAAATATGTTCTAAACGGTGAAACAGCTGATCTCTGACTCTGTCTTGGATCTACACTGCAACTTTTAAAGAAACTCAAAGCTCTCTCCATTGTTCCTTTCACTCTGCTGGAGAGAGACTTCTGTAGCCACATCCACATGCTGCGCTCATGCACAGGTAAGGTGGCCGAAGGGTCTTGCCCAAGGACACAACAACAGCATATTGTTTGGAACTAAACACTGGCCCTTTTGCTTCTAATATTCAGCACTGAAGCATCTGAATCCACCACGACTGATTCACTTTAAAAATATGAAGGATTCCTCTTCATGTGCTCTGTGTTCCTCTAAGTAAAACTGCAGGAGGTGTTTGTTTCTCTTGGTTTATTCTAGCATGGTTGTTGTTATTTTGCTTTATGTCCATTCACTTTTTTTTCATTTGCACGTGTTCTAAACTGTGCCGTGTTCACATGTTTGCTCATTTGTTGTTTAGTTGTTGTTGTTTACCTCAGTTAAGGCTGTGTAATTAATTTAATTTTGATCCCAATTTTGATTTGTGTGTCAAATGATAAATTGAGCTGAAAAGATTAAGTACCAGCCACAGTGACCAGAGTTTTGTGAGGATTCACCTGGTGTCCTCCGCGCTGTTTGTAATGTTGAGCTCCGGTTCTGATTATCTCCATAAACTCACAGAGGAGCGTATCGCAGCAGGACTCACATCTGTCTCACTATTTAACAGATATTTGTGCCGCTGGACTTATTTTCTCGGCTAAAGCGTTCGCTCTGATGCCACATGTAAACAAACAGCGTCGTGTGATGATGGGTTCAGTTGTGCAGACGTGAGTGTGGAACACAGAACCCACAGCAGTCGGCACAGTTGGAAAGACCTAGTATAAGTGGGATATTTTTAATATAAATAAGTATATTTATTTTGTTCTTTAAATATAGAGATTGTAGAACAGATGAATTATTTTGGAGACATTTATGTTTTTCTGCCTTATTTCGTGTTCAGTAGTTCATTTTATGTTTTATTCATTTCAACACTGCTCTAAGGTTCAGATTTGTAGCCTATATTTATTTTCAGTTTGAAAGTCTTGTGTAAATGATCAATGCCAGTAATAAGTGTTTTTTTTTTTTTTTTTTGTTTTTTTTGAGAGAGAAATGCTGAATAAATGCACAGTGTAACAAACAAAAAATAATCGTTTGAATGATCGTGATTTCAATATTGACCAAAAGAATCGTGATAATATTTTTGTCCATAATGGAGGAGCTGGAGCCTCAGTGTGTTTTGGTGCTGCTCTGTGTGCTGCGTGAGTGCAGGTGGACCACAATGCACTGGGGCTTGAGCTGTTCCCCGCTCTCGTGAGAGGCAGCAGCTTCAGGACGTGTTCATGTGACGTGTTTGTTTTCCTGCAAACAAGAAATAAACCAATGAAAGTGTATTTGTGGACTGGACAAGTCTGCAGTGAGTAAACCACGTACACATGGTGCCAAGAGGGAGTGTGTGAGATTTAAATGAGACCAATCCTGCAAGATAGACTTTTCAGAGCTTTTAACCCTGTAAGAGCTGTTTCTCCTCAACACTTTACTCTTGTCCCTGCATTAACAGCAGTTGGACAGGATATCTTGGTGTTTTTATTGTTTTCCTCTGGATTTCCCACATCTATCTGTTTCATTCTGTTTTGGCTGATTTCTGTGAAGCACTTTGGTCAGCAGAACTTGTTTTAAATGTGCTGTATACTGTAAATAAACTTGAATTGAATAGTTTGAGCAATATTCAGTCACTTATTTTCAAGAAGCCATTTTGACGATCAACCCTCATTTTCACTGCTCTGTACTTTCATTTCCCTGATACGTGCAGGGTCCAGGGTCACGTAGTCCAAACAATCTGCTGCTTGCTAGTTGTTGCTGGTAGTTTGATTAAAAGATTTTCAAACACATCTTTTCTTATAATAATATAAATGTAGAGTTTGAGGATCTGCCGGGGCAAGAGTCTGTGTACCATTTGTTCTTCTGAATTTTAATTAAGAACAAAAAACTATAAAATGGGAAAACGTGTTATTTCATTTTTCCATTTTAGTGTGAAACAAAAAAACAGATTCCGATCTCTGTTTCTAATATTTAAATCAAAGTTTATTTTAACACCTGGCTCCTGCTATCGTTTTTGCTACTCATTTAGATTTTATTATTATTTAGAATTTATTATTAGTATTTATATTTTTACTCTTTGTTATTATATTGTGATGTGTGAGCTCCTGTGTCCAAACCATTTCCCTTGTAGATCAATAAAGTTTATCTAAGTTTAAGTCAAAGTCTAAAGTTTACTTCAAATAAAAAACGATCAAAAAAACAGCTATTTCAAACTGTTTTTCCTATTTTATTGTTTTTCGTTCTAAATTGAAAAACAAGAGAATGAATGGTACTCAGACCCAGAGTGTAAAAGCAGACAGGGCCCACACTGTGACGTCATTATGAGCCTCCCGATGACATGAAAACGCTGAAACATTTAAATCAAATAAATAAAAAATGATTTGGGCGTCATTTGAGCCTTTCCACAAGTCTCTCTTTCACACTGACGCTGAAGAGCTGTTTGGGGCCTTTCTGCTAAAATACCCACACACACAAAACACACACACACACAAACAAAACACACTCCACACCCCAATGTGCTTTTAGTGAAAAATGTGAACAGGATTTTGAACTGAGTGAACTGAGTAAATGTAAAGTGAAATTCTTTGGTAAGTGCATGTGTGAACGTTAAAGCTGCATTGTGTAACTTTTCGGTTGGGGTCAGTCACCTTCTTGTTTCTATGGATATGTCATTGCTTTGTTTCTAATGTTCCACAGTGTGACATTAAACAGCTCTACCTTACATGTCTTCAATCACAGGTGCTTTTATAGCTCAAAAGTACCTAAAAACAAACATTCTGACTGTGAGCGTCTCTGAAGATAGAAAGGTTTAATGCCCCACTGTGAAACATTCCAGACAAAGCGATAACATCTCAGTAAAGAAAAGCATGTGTCGGACTCTCCACCAGAAAAGTGACACAATGCACACAATGATTTATCAGGGTTTGGAGGAAACTGAGAGAATAAATGTTGATATTATTGAACTCTGGGGTCCAAATGAAGCAGATATTGAAAGCTGAAGGCCCCAGAGCCGCGGCTGAATCATTCACACAGTGCAGACACAGTTCTGACAGGCTGGAAACTTAAATCTGTCCCACAATGCAATGAGATGTTATTATAGTAGTAGAATTAAATGGTTTAGTCGTAGAGCCGTAGTAGAAAATTAAATCGGCCACAGCACATTTTCAGTTATTTAAATGTCCTATATTACTCAAAATAACTTTAAGCCATGTTAGAATGTTGTTATCTCATTAAAAACAGACTTGGAGTTGTGTTTTATGTGTTATGTCTCCATCTCCAAACCTCAAGATGCTCTGTTCCACCTTGTGATGTCGTGAAGCAGTAGTTTTCAAGCTCCTTTTTTAACTTGAGTTCAGTAGAGTTTGGTAATTCCAAGACTGAAATGATCCAAATGATTCTAGTGAAGATGTGTGGAGTTTAAAAATGCAGTGGAGCACTTCCTGTATTACCACGACATCACAAGGTGGAGTTCTTCATTTTGAAAGAACTCAGCCTTAGTATACAGGGTTTGTGTGAGAATGAATCAAAACACAACTCCAGGTCTGTTTGTGACGAGGAAACTACATTAGAACATAAATCAAGAAATAGCCTCATATGGGACGTTTAAGGGACATTAGGTCAAAACGCTATTAGTTTTAAATCTTAACAAAAAACAAAACAAACTGAAAAACAAAAAGGAGTTACAATTATGAATTTCCATGAGAGAAATGACATTTAGTTTGGTTTTCTATTACAAAAGAAGGAAACAAATCATCTACTTTTGTGTCTCCTCCACATGAAAACTGTGGTGCGCTCAGTAGTTTTGTATTCTCTCCATAGATCTGATCTGTAACTTGTAACCTGTGGTCACCTTTAAGGTGTTTAATGCCATACTGTGGAATGTTCTAGGCAAAGCATCAATATCTCCAAGGAGACAACAGTGATATGTGCCCTCCACCAGAAAAGTTCCACAGTGGCTCTTTAGTAACACTCTGTTAAAGGGGACGTGTGCTGAACACAAAAGAGCCGTGCGCCGAGCGTCAAATACAAGTCTGTTTTTTTCTGGCTTTATTCAAACAAAGATATTTACGATGAACACAAGAATCACCTCATGGACTGTTACACTTTAAGCATCAACATCGTCATGGTACAAAACATGCGGGGCCAGAGACAGCGCCCCCTGCAGACAGAAGCGTTTTATGTACAATACCCGTCCCACTGGGTCAAATGACAGTGTGCCGATGAGAGCTGCATAGAGGATGGGTAACAAAGGTTGATCTTTATTTCAAAAAACAAAAACAATAAGTAAATGTTGACTCTTGGACGGTTTCATGTAAAGAGTTTATGGCAAATGTGCAGCGTGTCACCAGTTTTCCAGTAGCCCCCAAAGCCCAAACTTCACAAGAATTAAACAAATGTACAAAGAAAACGCGACACGTGCTGAGAACATGTCCCTCTGTGATTGGTCAGAATCCTCCCGGTCACGTGACACGGCCATATTTACATTATAGACATACAGGAGGTTATGTACAATGTAACACGCCTTCATTAGAAATCCACGGCTGGTAAACGCATTAAACCCGCATATTCCACGTCTGTCTCTGTTGGTGGGAAAGTGACTAATCCAGTTTGGTGTGCGTGGCGCGTGTCCGCGTCAGAGGGGCGCGCGCCCGGTCAGCTGTTGTACTGGCACGCGTTGAGGCTCGTGCCCAGGCTCGTGCCCGGGCTTTGCAGGCCGCTGTAGCTGAACGGAGGGTGCTGTTTGGACTTGAGTCTCAGCGTGGCCAGACTCGAGTTGCACGTGTCCCTGTACACGCTGTACGGAGACCCCGGGGGGCCGTACGGGCACGCCGATGACGTCATGGCGGAGTTGATGCCCGACGTGCCGATGCCGTTCAGGTTGCTGATGTTGTTGAGTCCCGGTGCGGCCATGGCGGGCACGGCGGAGTGGCCCATCCCGGACGCCATGGTCATAGAGATGGAGTTGGGCGACGCGGAGAACATGGACTGTGACGTAAGCGGGCTCATGGAGTTGAAGAAAGGGAAGTTCTTAGTGGAGAGCGGCGCGGGCGCGAGTCCTTTGTTGGTCCAGTTGTTGTACGTGTACGCGGGGTACATGTCGTCATAGGGCTGCACGAGGCCCCCGAACTGCGGCAGGTAACTGTTCTTACACAGATCCATCTGCTGGTTCCGCTCGCGCTTCCGCCATTTGGCGCGTCTGTTCTTGAACCACACCTGCACGAGAGACACGCACGCGTTTAGCAACGGCACATCACATCATTCAAATGAAAAAAACACACACACACATATATATATATATATAAAGCAGATTGAAGGCTAAAATACAGTTTTATTCTCACAGATGGTGTCTAAAACTAATTCATGAGAGCTGTTTTTTTTTTTTTTTTTTTTTTTAGCTGTCTAATAAAAACGTTTGATTTACTCTGAAACCGCTGTGCGTAAAGTCACAGGTGTAGATCTGTGCGTAAAGTCACTTGGACACTCGGCCTTTGGCCCGTTACGCACAGACACGCAACTGAACCATGACGAGACTTCACCGCCTCAATGTGCAATAATCACATGAACCATCTTTAATGTGCAGTAATGTAAATGAAACTCTATCAATAACTTCTGCCCCTGCGCCGCTCCTCCTCATCGCGTGTTTGTTGTGAACTGTGTCAGAGACCGAAGATCGTCTAGATTTATTCAAAAGAGACTTCAGAATCTCACGCTTCCTGAGCTGTTTAACCTCCAACAAATGGAAGATCCTGGAATCTTTGTATTTTGATAAGTAAAAATGACAATTTTGCGCTGCGCTTCTGTGAACAACTGTAGGACACCGAGGAGTCCAGTAGGTCCGGTGCTTTTCTGTAAAAACAGTGGATTGTTCTAGTTTCTATAAAGGAAAGTGCGGTGATCTGTGTCCAAGTCATTTCCCTTGTGAATCAGTAAAGTTTATCTGAGTCTATCTCCAACTCCCTTCTGTTCTTGTCGGAGTAAATGATGAACACGTCTCACGGGGCTACTGGCCCCGTGGCTTCATTAGTTTAATTTGAAAATCATAACGAACAGCAAGATCCAGTCTCCTTGTTTTTACTTGAATTTATATTTCATCCAAAAAATAAAGAGAGAAAAACATCTTTAATTGTTTGTATGGCCTATGAGATGCAGGATAATCAAGCGCGGGAAAAATAAAACCAGTGAAAATCTCTTAATATGTGCGAGTCACTCAGAGCTACTCCAAAAAGATAAATATTCTACAATTGTCTCCAAATGTACGCACACATTTTTCCGTTTAGTCTGGGCCTCTAAAACGCTGCTGATACAAGGCCGCGCGGTCTGCAGGTCTGAGCCCGTGCGTGAGGCCCGTGCGTGAGGCCCGTGCGTGAGGCCCGTGCGTGAGGCCCGTGCGTGAGGCCCGTGCGTGAGGCCCGTGCGTGAGGCCCGTGCGTGAGGCCCGTGGACGATGCTTGTGCGCGCGACCCGTGACACGTGAGACGCGTACGGAGCGGAGCAGGCGCCAGATGCTGAAAGCTGAAACCCGCCTCGATTGTCCGCTTAACTCCGCGACACATTCACGCAAAGCCGAGTCTGCGCGCGCACGTCTCGTGTTCGTCCGGACTCATCGCGCTAAGAGCTCTGCAGTAACGTACATCCGGGGACCTACAGAAGCTTGAAATACTGCGGAATATTCTGGAGTATAGTAGTGGTGTAGTCCTGTGCGCGTTCTGTCCCCGGTTAGTTTTGAATTAGACCTGGTTCCATAAACTTTTGTATAGTCTTGTTTTCTTTTCCCTTAAGAACTGGTTTAGTCCCGGTTTGGACCTGGTTTAGTGTGATTTTTGTCCTAGTTTAATTTGGGGTTAGTCTTGGTCTGGTCCTGGTTAAAATTTGACCTGTTTAGTTCTGGTTCACGTTTGGTTTAGTCCTGTCTTAGTCCTGTTTTTTTCATGGTTGAGATCTGGTTTAGTCTTAGTTTAGACCTTGTTCAGTCCTCCCTCACTCCTCGATTATTTACACAATTAGGCATAACTAGATTGATTAGTAAGTACTGCGCATGTGTAAAATGGTTATCGGGTATTGTAAACTGCGTTCACATTTGCGCGCAGCACACAGTGTCTGGATTAAACCTGGACTACCAGAACTAAACCAGGTTTACATCAGGACTAAACCGAGCTCAGCCCTGGACCAGAGTGAACGCCGCTGCCTTTAATTACTTCTAATGATTGTCAGGCTCTCATTGGCCTTTGCGTTCTCAGTGCGTCGTGCGTCAACGTGCACGCGCTCCATCACTGTCCAAAAACAAACCGGTTTTACTCGGCCTTGTGGAGTGGATCCCGTAACATGGAGCCGTGTAAATGGTGACGGGTGACTGACAGCGGGGATGTTTCTGACATGTCTCTCTTCTTCTCTCAAAGCGGCTTCTCAAAACTGAATCCGACTCTCTGCGTAATGAAAACATTCTGCGCCACAGTCCACAAGTACAAAACACCTACTTCTGACCTGGAGATGGGTCCCACTGCCCCGACAGGTTTAACCCAGAAGCACGGAAGCACGGGTCAAATGCAGAGGGCCAATTTTCACACTGTGCCAATTAAGCCATGTGTAAAATTTATGCGTAAAAGTTGTGCCTATATATATGTTCCCTATTTCCATGGCTTGTTGAAATGTACTAATTGTTTTTATATTGTGTCTGAATTTGAAGTGAACTGAATATTCAACAAAATTCATATTACGTTTTAAATAAAATTAATTGTTTTCTAAAATATTGATCTGATCCTGGTTGATCCTTGTCTCTCTCTTTGCGCTTTGCGCTTCTGCGCTAAATTTCAGTCTCGCTTTTTTTTTTTTTTTTTTGAGTTTTTGCGACTTGTGCGTCTTGTTATATAAATTTAAAGTAATTGTTTTTATGTTTAAACTGTTAAATCTATTTCTTATTCATATATTAATTGTTAAAAGGCATTTCTTGTGTTGGTATTATTTTTTTGGTGTCTTTTCTAGCGTCCCTCATTCCTGTTACGCTTTGCAACTGAGTTATGTTGTGCTAAAATAATAATTGTGCTAGTGATGTTTGAATTGTGTCGTGTAGATGTGGATGAAGTCGATGTGCTCATCTCACCCGGACCCGTGCCTCGGTCAGGTTGGTCCACACCGCGATCTCCTCGCGCGTGCTCATGTCCGGGTAACGGTTCCGCTGAAACGTGGCCTCCAGCTCCTGGAGCTGCTGGCTTGTGAAGTGCGTCCTCTGCCGCCGCTGCTTCTTCTTTTTCGGGTCGTCTGCGCCACCGTCATCCGCGCGGAGCTCCACACTGCGCTCCTTATCTGCGCAAACCAGAGAGTCAGTAATGCGCAAAGACGATGCACATGTCTCAGGATTCTTATTTGTAAAGCACCAAGACATAAACCAACATGATACAAAGAGGCTACAGACAATAGTCTACAAAAGAGAATAAAAACAAAATGGAAAACAAATCTCCAAGAATGCAGTTTATTAAAAAAAATCCTCTACATGAATGAGCAAAAACATATAAAACTTATAATTAGAATACTTATGATAACCCCCATATAATTATATCGTTATAATACTTATAATTAAAAACCTAAAGCTATAATTAGGTTCATGCAGAGAGACACAAAACATAATACAAAGGCTACACTATCTAAAACGCCAAAAGCTGTAAACAAAACGACAGGCCTAAAAGCTTTGGGTTCAGCCTCGTGGATCATGATCTTGTATACGTCTTAAACAAAAGACCAAATCAAATAATAAAGCCGATAGAAAATATTATACAAACACATATTAACGAAGTAATCACGGTTAAATATAATGAGAGCTCGTTTTATTTCGCACAGCACACAGACCAGATTTATTTTGTAAACGGAGCTATTTTTGATTTCAAATATGAGATGTGTGTTTACGCAGGAGAGACTCGTAACGGCGCATTTTAAAGCTATTTTTAATTCACTTTATATATACGACATGATACATTAAATGCTCGTGAACGCATCACTGTAAATAACACAACACAACACAACAGGGAATAATACCCACTACTTGTAAAAACGTAGCTTCATTTTGACCTTTTAATAATAATAAAAAATACAATATTTTTTACTTTGTACTTTTTTCATTTAGAAATCTGACTGACAAAGATGACTATTTTTAACTTTAACAATACTGCACTAAAAAATAAAAAATAAAAAAAATAAAAATAAAGTAAATAAATAAATACATTTTCAAAACAATTTAAAATGTAAAACGTATGTAAATAAAACACCTAAGCCCTGTTCACGCACCGCTGTTCCCACAGACGCGTAAAAGTGCGCGCCAGAACCTTTGTTTATGTGGAAAATAGTTTTACAAAGACAAAACCCTGCGTCCCCCAGTACTTCTTTTCTTCTTCTTTAATTCACGTTTTTGCCGCGTTTTCCATGACTTTATAATAACATTTGAAATCATAACACACACACACACACACACACACACAGAGAGAGAGAGAGAGAGAGAGAGAGATTATTGTTCTTAACATTGTGAATAAAATGTGTTTGTGGTGGTAAAATAAAAGTTGATAATAATATAATAATAATAATAATAATAATAATAATAATAATAATAATAATAATAATTCTTTTGAAGGCACATGCGTGTTATTGGGTTGTCTATAACCCACAATGTCCCACACTACCGCATTAAATTTATAAATGTCGGCGGAGATGCCACGGGACCGAGTGACAGGTCAGATCTGTGGAAAGGCAAATCCGCTCACAGAAACAACACGTGTTTTTAAATGCAATGCACAAACATACAAGTTAATAAACAGATACGTTTAATGCCGTACTGTGGAACCTTACGGGAAACTCCATGAGATCTCCATGGAGACAAGCTAGTTACAGACTCCCGCCCCACACCAGAAATGTTACACAGTGCAGCTTTAACCAAATGTTTGCTGTTCGTGTTTAAATTGTAGGGTTGGGGTTATGAGAAGTGAATTCTACGAAACGAGACATTGGGACGAGATTTGGTCAATACCAGAGCCAGAAAAGACCAGATTTTGATATCAGTTTTAATAAATGAATTGTGGGGTTCCGTTCAGTTTAATTTCAATTATTTTTTTTTGTAATTGTATCGTTTTTTCGGTCATTGTGTTACTGCTTTTTGAAACTACAACTTCTCTAGAGAAAGTTCACCCCATTTTTGTCCAGTCCAAATGTAAACACAAAGAACCTCACAAGAGCACTTTTCTCATGCGCGCACAATCTCATGGCAATCTTATCTCGCGAGATCTTGTTTGATCAGTAATAAATAACTGTCCTCGTTCTGGCATTCCCCCAAACGAAATGCTCGCGTCTCAAACACGTCTTCGCTGATGATTACCCGAAGCAACGTGTCCGTGCGTCGCGATAAAACGCGCTCTGTGTTTTTATCGTTAACTCAAGGGTCAGCACGTGCAAAGGTTAATCCCACGCGAGAATCCTCCCATGGATGTTTGCCAAAAATAAAAGCGTTTCCAAACTACACTCCACAATCAGCGCTTTGCAAACACAGCCCGTTAACGTCCGCTCCAGTGTTGCGTTTCACATGGTACAGACTGGCGATGCGCGCGAGAAATAAACAAACGTTCACGCTAATTATTTAAACCAGTGACAAGGACAAGTCACCGAGCCACGCCGCAAAATTTACATAAAGCAACAGACTTTTGACATGTCCACATCTGTTTTACGCACTGTGGAAATATTAGACTAATCTGAAGCGCAGCTGTAGTGGTGGAAAAAGAAAAGTAGTGCGTGTTTGTACTGCAGTAAAAGCACAAAATTACACAGCTAGAAAAGTACTCAATTGCAAGTAGGCTAAAAAACTATACTTCACTAAATGTACTGTAAAAATACGCATGCAATATACTACTAAAATCACTAGTTATTAACGCAATTGGGAGTATTTTTTATACGAAACCTGATATATCAAAATGGGTTATATTGTTTTAAACCACACTTGTAAAAACTTCTGTCTACAAGGTTTGATTGTGAAGTGCGTAATTGGCACAAGGAGCGCCCTGCCTAACTGCGCTATGGGAAAGTGAAAAATGTACAAAGGAAAACATAACGTTATATATGGTCGTGAAGTTATTTTAAACACCATTCCACGTATTCTCTGAGCTCTGGCCAATCAGAAGAGACGAGGCAGAGCTGTCCCCGTGTCTCCAGGCGCAGAAAGGAGCACAGACGTGGAGTGGGACCACTGATTAAAAATGCAGTACAAGTACAATTACACGTCTGGAGCAACGTAAAAAAAAATTACAGTAGGCTTATATATGTTTTAAAATCTACATTAATATAGTACGAATACTACGAATACCCCAAATACTACTCGATTACAACATGACGTCAGTATTTGTAATTAGTTACTTTCCAGCTCTGCACACGGCCCTTGACTGATTGTCTCCCCGCACTTAAACCTTATAAACGTGTCTCCCGCGACCCTGCGCTTTTAGTCGGAGTATATTTATAGCGCCTTTAATGCACTCTCTGACGGGGGGCCAAGCGCGCGCTCTGCCTCTCCACGTCTCCTGGCGCATTTTTCCCTGACAGACCCGAGCCCGCAGCCAGCGACTGTTTGCTCCGCTCTGTAAACACGAGAAAGAGCAAATGCGTGAGACCGAGCGAGACCCGGCCGGAAGATTTACTGCCACGAGTGTTTGAAAGTCTCGACATGTGCGTAGCGGAATGACGCACTGGCGAGGGACGTAAACTAACGTAAAATGAGAAATAAACGGTGTACAAAGCGTCAGTTTAAACAAATGGACTTAGGGGATCAGACGTGGCAGCTATAAACGTGCGTAAACGTGTCAATTACGTGCGTAAAAGAAACCATTAAGCAGTACATTAATAACTATGTGTTGCTCCAGTCATTTTCAAGTGTTATAAAAGTTTGATAAATGACAATGACGATATTCAGTGTCTCCAAATGTATTTGATTGACACATTCCTCGTATTAACTAAAGCTCAAATAGAAGTGTGTTTATTTTATACGAATGATTCTAAAACTGTTGTAAACTGGGCTAAGTGGGCGAAAGAACAGACCTAACCTCTCTAATATTTTTTTGTTTTCAACTCTGTGCAAGGCTAAACTACTTTTTCGGCCAGTGAATACATATTAGTATTTGTTGAAAATAAAAGACAAGATAATTAATCACGTAAAGTGCGTAAGTACAAATAACAGAAATTATACGTGAAACTGGCCACGACATTTTCTTGTATAAATAATATTCCTGTGCTGGAAACACACTGAAGTCTGTTGTGTTATTATTTCACACTCAGTCAGTGAGAATAATGGACAATTGCAATATGACACAGCTAAGCGTGCGTAATGTGCGTAAACACGGTCATATATAAGTTTTAAATGAGCATTAATCTCGCAAAGTTAAACGTGAATGTCATGGCGTAAAATGTTCCGTGATAAAGCTGAAAATAATGTGACAGTGGGCCCCTCTATTATGAATGATGAATACAACACACAGGCGACGCGTGCGTAATGGCCTTTTTTACGTCAATCTCATCACGGATACACACTTAGAATTACTCGTAAAGAGTGATATGTCCAAAAATCTCAGACTGTTCTCCCAGCGGTGCACCTATATAATACGTGTTTGTTTTGAGATGGTTTGTTAATCTGTAATGGCAACAATTATGCCTGACTAGCCACGATAAAAACAGTAAAACAACCTAATGTGTCTTGAAATTTGAGACAAAAATATACAAATTTTGCACGCGCTTTTAATATATTTTCCATATATCTGTTTGTCATTCAGGTTCAGATTAGTTCAGTCAAATCTGTGCAGAAAGCCGTAACTGTCATGAATAACTTCAAGTATTTTACCACCTACAAATAATAGTCTATTTTGTATTGGTCCGAGATACAGTTTTATAATAAAGTAACGATTTACGTAACGTATTGGACAATTAGACAATTTACGTAACGTTTCGTGATCTTGCGCAGTATAATTCTGGTGCAGATTTGTGAATTGGACTGGGAGTGTTTTTTTTTGTTTTTTTTTGTTATTTTTTTTGTTATTTGTTTTTTACCTTCGAGTTTCAGACAAAGCAGCTTTATTCCAATATGTTTCGACATTTGTTTATTAAATGAACAGACCGACTTTCATTACGCTCCATTGGTGTGTTTTACATAATATGATTGACAGAAACTTGAATAGGCGACGTATCAATTTACTCCCTCAAAAACCGATTCAGTCAAACTTACATTTTGTTAGTCACTATGTTATACTATAATTATCTAACTAAACTGTGAAATTGTGCTATTTTACTTCTCTATTTTGAATTTTGTGCAAGGCTTAAAATGACTAAATATTAGTCTGAGTTGAAAATAGAGGACACTAAAGTAAACGGCGTAAAATGCGTAAAAACTCGACATCTTCGTGTATAAACAATAAACACTAAATGTTGGAAGCATAAGGAAGTATTACTTCAGAATCAGTGACTATGTGTGCGCTTCGAAGCCGTATGAACGGAAGTCTGCTCTGTTCGCGTACCTTGCAGCTCCGTGTCCGAGGACTCGCTGCTGGAGTGCTCCACGGTGTCGCGCCGGTTGTTCGCGCTCCGACCCAGGTGAAAGTGCCCCATGTCCCGGGCGTGTGAGAGCTGTGGCTGCGGCTGCGGAGGGGGAGGCTGCGAAGGCGGCGGTGGAGCGGCGGAGGGGGCTACTCGGTCCAAATTCATCCCTCCACCAAGCGAAGGGTAAGTGCAAAAAAGCGGAAAAAACGCAAAAAAGTCCCGAGACGGTGCGAAATCATCCGGGTTCCACCAAGAAATCACCACAAAAATCAGGCGACTACTCCGTGAGAATGAAAACAACAAGTCGGCTCCGCGTCTGTCTCTTTCTGGAAGCGCGTCCGCCGTGTGTGTGTGTGTCCGCCGCGGGAGAAACCTCAGTCCGCAGTGCGCTAAAAGACACTCCGCTCCTCACTGCCTTTGCCTACGCCCCGCCCACCGCAGAGTCACCGAGCAGCAAAACGAACGGCCCAAGTCAAAGGAGACGTCAAAGCGCGCAGGACTCCCAGCTCCGCCGCGAGAGATGGCACCAGGCCAAACCCCAGTTTTAGACACTGGACAAGAAATGAGCTCCAATTTACTTGTAAAACTGTTGTCCAAAGGGTTTGATTGTGAAGCCTAACCGTGCGTAATTGGCACAAGCAGCGCCCTGTCTGGTAACTGCGCTATGGGAAAGTGTAAAAATGTAAAAACGAAAACATAACGTTATATAAAAATGGCCGTTAAAAGGGCGCGTTCTTTATGTTAGTGTGTGGAAAAACTAAACCCGTCCAGAATACGTGGCCACAGGATTTGACTATAGCTGCACCAGAACGCACCTAACTACTGTGCGTAAATGTTGATTTGAATGTTGGCCCGTGCGTCTTTGCTTGGTTTTCCTTTCTGTCTCCAAGTATCGCCCAAAATCGGAGGACATTTTAAACCACACGTACCAAGCACAACCCAGATATATGGATTTTGAACAGAGACAAAAAACAAAAAAAAAACAAAAAAAACAAACAAAAACAAAAACTTGAGCTAGTTTTTCGGGTTGTATTTTTCACATCGAGGCCGCTCCGTTTTGACTTGTGAGCTGACTTCTGCAGATGCCGATGTGAGAAGAGGCACAGACACTACAATTACAGTTTTCCACCCAAAACCCCGCAGTGAAGACCCGACAAAGACTTTTCTGACAGTTACTTTGAGCCTAATCCGTGAACCGTTTGAAATAATATGCAACAAATCTCGCCCCTGTGTTTGTGCGTATTCTGCTTAATTAAACCCAGCTTCCCTTAACCCGAACTTTAATCTACGCTTTGAACACGCGATTCTCTGTGAACCTTTAGTCCTCTGGAGCTGGACTCACGGCTGAAAAGCGGCGGTCTGCGCAGGCTCCGAAGGGCCAATTTATTTAGGGATTTTGGTGAGGTTTATCCGGATAACATCTTTGGCCTTGGAGCCTAAGAGCGCACGGACCTCTTCAAGTGTTCTTTCCTTTACGCAGACTCACACGCATAGACCAACATACGCACGAGGACAATGTGGCAGGATTACAATTTATTACAAACTTGGATTTTAATTCTTTTATTTGGTAAAGATTTTATGCTTGGGATTTGTGCGTATGCGTATTTTTTCCACAAGTTGGCCTAGATTTCTTTTCAAACAATATTTCTACAATAATTTTGGTAACTTAAAAGAAGCAATTTGCACAACTTATATCAGTCCATTTCTAACAGTTTGAATGAGCCTCTTTCCCGTTGAGATAAAGGACGCTTTCTGAGGCGGAGTGAACCCGCGGACCTCTGGCTTTCATACATCACACGGAGAAGATGCGGTCGCTCTGTTTTGTCACGTGCTCTGCTTTGGAGTGTCTCTACGTTTAACTCATTATATTCACTATTGCTCTGTTCGACAAAAAGAAGCGGCTAAATCAAGATGTTTGGACTCACTGTCAAATCCGGTGTCAACGCGGTTTACGCGCGTCAGCTTCAGTTTGGCTACCTGCAGTTTTATTTCTGCAAGTCAATGGATCAGCTCTAAGACAATAAAATAAGATGTAGAAACGGGAAAAATAGACCATTAATACACATCGTGGATTTGAAATAGTTTTGTGTCGCCATAGAGAGCAATACAAGCCACAGTTCTTTGGTGAAACTGGTAGTTCATTCAAAACTATTCGAGTGAAATATATGAAAGAAAACCCAGATGTGCTTTGTATGTCTCGGCCCGCGCGCGCGCTCTGCGCCGTGTCCAGGTGCCTGACTTGGTTGGACTTAAATAAACACGTCTTTGGCCCAAAGCCGCTGTTGTTGCTACTGTTGCCTTTAAAATAAAACTGCGCACAAAGAGCGCGCTTTGATCAAGGCGCGTGCGCGACACTCTCACTGTGACAAATGAACGATGGCAGCTGATAACACGCACGCGCTTTGTCAATTCAACAGACCGTGTCCAAACCGCAGCGAGTGGGAATATAAAGGAACAAGGACGTGTACACTGTGTTTGTGTTTCTAAACAATGCATCGGTCTGGAGTGTCACATTCTTAAAGGCAAATTAAAGAAGATTATAGTTTGAAAAGTTCAGAGTCCATCAATGAATGACAAGAATATACAGAATTAGACCGTGGTTAACCAGAACAGATATTTCAATACACGCTCTTCTCTTGAGTTCGGGGAGGAAGGTCAAAAGCGGCCGTTACCATGGAAATCCGCCATGTTTGGAGCAGTAAGACTCAGACAGGCCGATATCAGCCAAACAAGGTTAAAAAGTCAACAAAAGCGCGGTGGACCAAACCGATACCGGGTTGGGTCCCTCCCGGTAAACACATCCATCACTCCAGCGTCACATTTGAACGTTTAGTATTAGTATTTAATATGAACGTTTAGTATTCTCTACACTTTTAGTAAGTGACTTTTCTTAGACGCGTGTGTTTAACTCTTGCGCAAACCAAATAGGTTAAAATATGAGCAATATGCACAAAAAATGTGCGCCACTGTTTGGAGCGGGTGGGTCTATGGGCAACTGAGGAAAAGTATAACGCCGAATGTTGTGGACCCAAAAATACAAATGAATCACCAGTAATCAGATACAAAAGGAAAAAGTACATTCTCGCACAAAGCTGATCATCTTCAGTATCTTTAGTAATATTTGGTCACGTCGTTTCCAGTCACCCATGTGTACAGAATATTAGGCTGCGATTGCGCGTCTTTGTGTGTGTGACCTCGGGTGAATGCGCATTGTCTGTCCAAACTCGGCCTCTTGACACATTTCAGGTTAATCCGCGCTCTTGTTGTGTCTGGGGCGCTCCCTGTGCGCAGATTACGCACCTCGGCTCTTTTACCCCGCTCTGGGTGGGATTGTGACAGGGACGGTGGCGCCAGGCAGACTCCCCGGCTCTCGGCGCTCGGCTCTGGGCCTGAAACGCGATCAGAGCCGCTCAATCCCCCCGGAGGCTGTTCTCAAGGAGGACCCTCAGAAAACACTTGTGTCTGTCCGTTTCACACGCGGGCACAATGTGAGCAGCTCCGCGGCTGCGCCAGGGACTGAGAAATAAACCAAAAGCTACAGGGGAAACTACAGACAGATTATTATTATTATTTTATTTCTTTTTTGGTCAGTTTGGTCTCTGAGCATTCAAACCTTTATGTGGAAATTACAAAATGATCCACTCTGCACTGAAAGATGACAGATTAAGTTTTAATATTTCATTTAGTCAACTCAGATCCACCGAGTTCTGTGGGACAGTGTAACTTCAACCACCGTTTTCTCAAAATGTATTTCCCTTCAGAGGGACACAAGGATCACCTACACCAAACATTACAAACTTGTACCAAAACGTGACCAAACGTACAGAAGGATTTTATATCCAAGTCTGATTCATTTATTATTTATTTAATTCCAAAATATGACCCAAATTTTGTATTTTTAGGCACATTTTCTGTCAGATGTTGTTTATTCAAATACTAAATAAGAATCCAAAATGCCCTGTGTACATAGGCCTATATATTTTTTGTATCTATGTCAACAACAAAAAAAGCAACACATTTAAACCTGGGTCTTTTCATGTTTCTGTTTTGAATGTGAAAACGTGACACGATGAAAAACGTGTAATACATTTTGTTCTTACATCTATGTGAGGAAACTACAGGAGAAGTTTCGAAATGTTAACTCTAAATTTACGTTTTTTCCCTGTTCGCCTGCAGACTCTCACCTAAATGAACCAAGATGAGATGTTAAATGTTAAATGGCTTAACTTTACTCCAAATTGTAGGTTAAACATTTCAGACGCGCACATTCACGTAAGATAAGGTCGAAATGACACGCATGCACTGCAGAAAACAATCGAGTTTACCAATCTGTAATTTTGGTTTTGGACGATGCAAAAAAATAAATAAAAAATGTGGTGGCAACTTCAGACTAATTTAGAGCAATGAGGAGAAAAACACACGTCATTTTGCATTATAGCCCTTCACCATAGACTTAATACTTTATTCAAAATATGAACACACACACACACATATATATAAAATCATTCTAACACTATGCACAGCTGTGTCTTACGTTAGAAAGTCCAAAACTGCAAGCTAGATTTTTTTCAAGGTACGTTTAAAAGCTCCAGTTCTCTTCCAAAGGTTCCGTTCGAGTTGACCACATGTGCTAATAACTCACTTGAACAGGCCATTGGCTAAAACTGTATAATTGAGACAGAAATTCCATGGCCCCTTCAGTTCCGCTGCTCTAAAGCGCTTTCACTTTTGGCCTCTTCTGTTTTTGGCTTTTCCCTCTAAATATTTGAACCATAACCGTCGTCCAAGTCAAGCGGCTCCAGCCAAACTCTTATTTTCTAAACAAACCCGTTTTTTACCTCCCACGTGGCCTCCGGATGCGCGCTGGTAACGTGCTCATTAGGCCTATAGCTGCGTGTTGCTGTATAGAAACGCAGCCTGTATAAGTGATGGTGCGTCATGCGTAAAAGTCATGTTCCAAGCGCACGGAAATGGTTAAATGGCAAATGTCTTGAAAGGCACAGTATGTTTTTCCCCCCACTAAAATAGACAAAAATAAAAGCATGTTTTTTCATTTTGGTTGTGTTTACTGAACTGAAAAACATGCGTCCTTACTGTGAGCGGGCTTGCATCTCCACAAACCTGACTCTTATTAGGCCTGGAGGGGGAGGGCCGTCACCTGCGTGTCTCTATGGAAATATTATTATCTTGATTATAATATTCCATTAAACACGAAGAATGTTCCGCAGCGTGAATTAACGTCCTGTTTCCATGGAATCATACAGGCGACATACCACTTCCAGAAAATGTCATACTGTAGCTTTAAATTATTTGAAACACACTAGAACACTTCCATATCAGCTCTTCTCATTCTTAAGTATTCCATTT